GGAGGTGGAGCTGTGGTGCCACCTGTCTGTTTCAGAAATTTCGCGTTTTATCTCATTTTTTTCGTTTTAGACTCGATTTTTTGGAATTCTACTTCATCAACAACTTTATTAGGAGGGTTTGGACGTCCCTTACTTGTTCCCTATAAATATTAGGCTTTTTTATCCAATTTTATGGTATGAGAATAGTGTGACAAAAGTGATTACTAGATTTTAGGATCAATTATATATTTCTTCATTATTGTTCATGAGTCAATAAATCTCCTAATTCATCTGGCATATTTTCTTGACTTCTTTTATTTTTATGCTTGTGATCAAATACTTCGTTATTGTGCTATATAACTTCAATATCTCAATCCGATTGTTGATTTCATATGAAGTGGTATCGAGGAATACGCAATCCTTAAATTCCCAACAATTGGTATCAGATGTTCTAGGCATAATTAACACAACAAGTGGTATCAGAGTCTAGGTTCAGCAATTTCGCAAAAGCGTAAGGTTTGATTTGTTTGAGATTTTTTGTTCGTGATGACTTACATGAAGTATGACATTCCGCTTTTGGATCAGAGTGCTAGATTTTTGCTATGGTAGGTTAAGATGCGTGCAGTACTCACATAGCAGGATTTGGATGATGCATTGTTGGGAATTGACAAGATGCCCGCAACTTTGACCGTGGAGGAAAAATTATGGAAAGATAAAAAGACAGTTTCTCACATTCATCTTCATCTATTGAATACAATTCTTCGCGATGTTTTGAATGATGGTCCATCAACTGCTTTATGGTTGAAGTTAGAGCAATTGCGCATGACCAAAAGTCCGACAAGTAAGTTGCATTTCAAGTAGCACTTATACTCTCATCGAATGGCTGAAGAAGGATCATTGGAAAATCACCTAACTGTAGTTAAGGAGATAGTTGTTGATTTGGAAATTTTGGAAGTATGATGAAGAATATTTGATCTTGATCCTATTTTGTTCGTTGTCCGCTTCGTTTTCTTCATTCAGAGACACGGTCTTGTATAGTCGTGATATTATCACCATAGAGTAGGAGC